GAAGGTGAAACGTCTTCAAGTAACTTAAAGAAGTCCAGACGCTTTTCTTTGCAAGCTCCTTTGACATTTATGTAAAAAGAAAGTTTTCACAGTTTTATGTTTACAGGTGTTAACTTATGCACAGCATTTCAGTCAGCATGAGGTCTGGACTTTAACTGGACCTTTGCAAATCTTCATTCTTTTCTTCTTATCTCTTTTTTTTTTTTTTTTTTTTAGCCATTCTTTTGTTCATTTGCTGCTGTGCTGGGGACATCGTCCTTTTGGATGATCCGGTTCAGGCCAAACTTTAGCTGTTGGACAGATGGGCTCATATTTGACTCTTAAATACTTTCCCTTTGCTTATGAATAATCTTTCTGACTTGAGATTGTGTGGCGATGCCCTTATAATCACTGAAATGTTGATGGGAAGTAACAGTTGCTTCTTTAAGATCATTGCTCAGGTGTTTCCTCCTTGGTATTTTAACACGTCTGAGTGCTCCAGACCAGCAAACTGCTCACATTTCTGCTTTTACGGAGTTGGTCGCACTTCCTGATGATAAATCATTTAATAAATCATTTTATTAGCAGCAGCTGGCTGCTACGTACCCTCTTAATTCATGAAGAAACACAAAAGGTTTCTTTATTTTTTTTCCCATGACTGCGCAAAGTTATGTGAAATTTCTCTTTTTCACCCCCACTGAAGCCACAGCTGTTATTCATCAGTAAAAAAACCCTCCCCTTTATCTTGTACACTGTTACGACTGTTACTGTGACCATAACAGTGTGCACAGTTAAGATAGTAGGCTGGTATTTGCAAAATACTGAAGTGATGCAGAATTGTGTTTTGCATCAAAGCTCTTCAGCAAAAATGCAGAACATTTGCTTGATGAGGATGGTCAGGGGATTTTGAATTATTGGTTGGCCAAAACAAGCAATATTTGCATTTGCATTCATGATCTTTGTCATATTTTAATTGTATGTTAGTTGTATCCTTACAGATGTGAAGAAGAATGCCAGCAATGTTGGTTTTTATTTACAGCTTCGTTGAACTTTCTTTAAACCTTCTTTTAAAAGTAAATAAACTGTATATTTGAAGAAAATAAGTTGGCACTATTTAGGGTAGAAAGTGCGCTGTCAGAAAGGTTCGTGTAAGACTCAAGCTTGATTTTGCTTTTTTTTTTTCCCCACGCCTTATTTGATTGATTTATTTCCAGGTGACCAATGAGATCACTCCAGTGCTGACGTATTCCTACATGGCTGTGCTGGTACCAGCCTTCCTGCTAACGGATCTTCTGCGTTATAAGCCGGTCCTGATTATTCAGGGCGTCAGTCAGGTGATCATCTGGATCATCCTGCTGCTTGGCGGTACGCTGCTTCAGATGCAGTTCATGGAGTTCTTCTACGGCATCACCATGGCCTGCCGTGTCGCCTACTCCTCCTACATCTTCTCCCTGGTCAACCCGGTCTTCTACCAGCGCGTGGCCGGCTACTCGCGCTCCTCAGTCCTCCTGGGGGTTTTCACCAGCTCTATCCTGGGCCAGCTGTGCATGTCCTTGGGAAACATCACCTTCTACACCCTCAACAGTATCTCTCTGGGGTTTGTCAGCTTTGGTTTGCTGCTCTCACTCTGCCTGCCCTGGCCTAAACGCTCCTTGTTTTTCAACCGGACGAATCAGGAGGAAAAGGAACTGGTAGAAGTAGCCACCAAATCTGAACTGGACAAAATGGACCCAAAAGATGGAGGGCCATCCTTTGCTGCCCCTCCATGTCCTGCGTCAACCTGGAAGGATTCTGTGTTTATGCAGATGCTTCTGGAGGTTAGAAATGTGCTGAAGAGGCCAAACCTGAGGCTCTGGTCCCTGTGGTGGGTGTTCAACTCCACAGGGTATTACCTGGTGCTCTTCTACGTCCACATCCTGTGGAACAAAGTCTACCCTGCCACTGAGAACAAGAACGTTTACAATGGGGGAGTGGAAGCAGCTTCTACATTGCTCAGTGAGACATTTCCAGACATTTTTAAAAAATAGTTTTACACAAATAGT